AATATATATATATATATATATATATATATATATATATAACTGCAGACAGTACTGTTTCGGCCTTCTGGGTCTCATCAGTGCAGTGCTGATGCTAGAATGGGGGAGAACCGATATGGTTACCCCAAATGATCCCACATTTGTGGTATCGTCTAAGCCATGCTAGAGTGCTCAAACTAGGAAAGCCTAGTGAGCTATGCGCAATGCTAGCAGCAATGACTCACCCACAGTGTTCAATTTGGACATGAAAGCAGAGCTTTGTTTGCCAAAGAGCTATATCTAATTGCAGACAGTAATGTTTCGGCCTTCTGGGCCTCATCATATATATATATATATATTTATATAACTGCAGACAGTACTGTTTCGGCCTTCTGGGCCTTATCAGTGCAGTGCTGATGCTATATATATATATATATATTTATATAACTGCAGACAGTACTGTTTCGGCCTTCTGGGCCTTATCAGTGCAGTGCTGATGCTAGGATGGAGGAGAACCGAGAGGGTCAACCCAAATGACCCAACATTTTTGGTATCGTCTAACCCATGCCAGAGTGCTCAAACTAGAATAAACTAGTGAGCATGCGCAGTGGTACATTAAATTATACCAACTATGTATTACTTTGAAAATCAAACCCTTCATTTTATTGTTTGTATGGAAAACAAAACAATAAAATGAAGGGTTTGATTTTCAAAGTAATACATAGTATAATTTAATGTACCACATTTTTTGTTATATGTACCCAGAACACCAGGAACTGGACTTTACGACAACTTGCAGCAATACAAAATCCCAGAGCCAACAGCCATTTTTGATCTAGACTACTTTTGGTATGACCCAAGGCCATTTTTCTGCCTGGCTCAGAGTCTTTATCCTGGAAATTACCAGCCAAACTATGTACACCACTTTGTCAAGTTACTCCATGACAAGGGATTGCTGTTGAGAATGTACACACAGAATATTGATGGACTGGAAAGATGTAAGTTGACTGAATTTTCTAAGTTAACCCTTTAATGAACTCCCATGAGTGACAAAGACAGAATTTCTCCTTACTATTTAATATTTATTGATTTGTATTGCGCAAATATCAAACCAGGGAAAAAAATTTTCAGCACTCTTTACGATATCAATACAATATCAAGCAGACAAGTGGCGAGAGTAAAGAAAAATATCAATCAGGGATTATGAGTTGATCCAATGCCAAATTCTCCAAAGTAACATCATAAGAATTGTATTTCAGACTGTAAGGAGAATTACTAATGAGATCTTGGGAGTAAAGGGGTCAGTGTGAGACAGAGGAATGTGCAATGAAGTGTTCTCCTGAGATTTTTTAGGAGCCGCTCATTAAAAACAGTGGCTAACAGAAGTTAAAATTTATTTTTTTTGTCTAATTAAAGTAGCTGGCAGTTTAGAGAGGATTCGCGAGGGGAAACGCTAGAGGCAAATGCGTCTAGACAGCACTGACAAGGGTGGGGAAATATCCTTGGTGACCTTCAAAGTTTTAGTGATTCCTAACAGGATTTGCAAACATCTAGTTTTCAGATTACTTTGAAATGTTCATGTTTTGCATGTGTTAATTTATTTGGAAAAACATCATTTTTGTATGATCCCTGAAGGAGGTTTGTCTGCTGTTATCAGTGCACTACTAGTGCTTAAACACGAAGGCACACTATAAAAGGAGCCTTATGTCCCACCGGACCATTTGTCAATCAAACATCGTGTGATGTAGAACTCTTAGAGTCAAGTCAACTTGAGCTACAGCTACTCCAAAGCAGTGAACAGCGGGCGCATTCCTCAAAATTGTTTTATGTCTTCATCACAATACAAGAATATTTGAGATTTGTATTTCCTTTCTCCAATATAAACTGTCTTTATTTGTGGCGGTAAATTTGAGACCGAAGTAGGTGGTTTGCACGTTACCTCATGCCACCATGCCGGTGGAAGTAAACAATAGATATCTCATTAGCTCCTTTTGTTCGTCTACCAGCATTTAAATTTGACCCGCACACGTCAACGGTGAGTGACAAATGAGCCTAAGTCTTCCCAGGGAAGACTTCCTTATATAGTGCACCTTCGTGTTTAATGAGACCTCTTTCCTCTTTCCATCTGTTCAGCTTGCAAGCAGGTTCTTGTGTCAGGGTTTTACCTTATAGCTCCTTTTGGGGATTAGCCAAAAGGAGCTATAAGAGCTCTATCCATTGAGAGAGCTCTATCCATTGAGCTAACCGCCTCCCGGTTAGCTCAATGGATAGAGCGCTGGACTGTAGTGCAGGAGGTCGAGGGTTCGAGCCCTGGCCGGACCAACACTCAAGGTCTTTAAATAATTGAGAAGAATTTGCTACCTTTCTATAACATCAAGAAATGGTTAGGTATTCTAGTCTTCTCGGACAGGGACGAAGAAATGGAGGTCCCGTCTCTTGCAGGGTTGGGGCAGGAGACGTTAATTTCCCACACACGAGATTACTGTGTGATGGATGTCCTCCCCTGGGGTGGGATGGGTGGTTTAGGACAGCAGGTCCACATCAGCTATTACAGCTGCCAATTAATCAACCTGCTTAAACAAATAAATGAACAACAACAACAACAACATAACGCTATTGGCAACCCCTTATGGAAACAGTTATTGGAACCCTTACCTCCTCCAGGTGCTATCCTGAGGCTGCTCAGGCAGTGTTTCAAGACTAGATGACCTTGACTGATGCAGCACACTGTATATAGTTTCTGTAGTCAATGTGCTTTTTCTTTTTTAAGTGGCTGAGGTACCAGCAACAAAACTTGTAGAAGCACATGGCACATTCTCAACTGCTTCGTGTATAAGATGTCACAAAAGCTATGATGGAGAACAAATTAAGGTAGGATGCATGGATTGAAAAAAATGTGCACTTTGCAGGCAACATTCCATCTAAAGTGTGATAATTAAAAATGAATTGAAATTGTTATCATATTCATCTGAAACCAGTAAGGTCAGTTATGGTAGATGAAACAAAGAGAACTGCCCATCAAAGGTCAAAGGTCATAAGACCCATTCCCATTCCCAGGCCCTAGCAGTATGAAAGAAAAACATTTTCCACTTATTTTGTTTTACTTAGTCTGTGTAAGATGACACGTTTGGAAAGGGAAAGAAACATGTCCTTAATATGACTACAGGTTTCGTGGAAAGCAAGGGCTTCACTTACTTGGTAATTCCTTCTTTGCAAACATCAAATGCACTAGAGCAAGTCTGACCCTCCAGTATACATATAACGGGTGTTTGACTGCAGCACTGCAACTTTTTTTAGGCTTAAGTCACTAAGAATTTGTCCATTTTATAGAAAACAATCATGGATGGCGACATTCCTAAATGTTCCAGCCCAAGATGTTCAGTAAGTGACACATAAAGAACCTTCTCTATTTCTTAGTCATTAAGAACCGACATTGCAAAACAATGGCATGTGAGATATTTCATAAACTTTGAAATTCAATAAGTGAAAATGTGACAGACAAAAAACCTTACCACAATGAAAGGGTATTTACAGAATACATTGTTGATGCTAAATATAAACTGTATTCATTTCTTGAACTTTTGTTTCTTTTCAGGGTGTGGTTAAGCCAGATATTGTGTTTTTTGGTGAAAACTTGCCCAAGAAATTTTACTCCTATGTTGTGGATTTTCCAAAATGTGATCTTCTTGTAATCATGGGCACTTCATTAGAGGTGAGATTTACATTGAACTAGTCTTCTAGTTTTCAAACATTCATGTACTGGTTGAAAATTTTACACTTAGGGGTTGGTACCTTTGATTTCTTCAGGTGGAGCCCTTTGCAGGCATAGCGAATTCTGTGGACCGCTCCACTCCACGCCTTTTGGTAAACAGGGAGATCGTAGGACCATTTTCTCGGCGTTCTGAGAGACGCTCTAATGATGTGGTGCTCCAAGGAGATATCGTAGAGGGTGTGACAAAACTTGTTAACCTCCTAGGATGGTCTGATTCAATGGACGCCATTACAAACGGTGCTAAACAAAAATGGAAAGATTATTCGTCTACTACAGACCCCAAAGTTAGTAAAGCTTCCGAGGAACTTGCTAAAAGTATTGGAAGAACCACAGATAGTAAAGAAATGGTGGAAAACACTTCAGGAACTAGCAACGCACAGTTAAAGAATGGCGTTGATGTACAAAGAAAAGACAGTGGACAGTTTACAAGCACTCCCAAAAATGGAATCTCTAACGGACCGACAGGACTAAACTCATTTGGGACCAGAACGCTACATTCCCTAACTAATGGTTTTACAGGCAAAGGAGTTCTGTACAGGACAAGTAAAACTGCTCTCTTCATGAATGGCGAGGGGCCCATAAGACCCTCCGCAGCTTCTCAAAGAGCCCCACTTTTGCCGTTCCTATACACTCAGAGGAAAGAATCGAGCGAACAGAATAAGAACACAGATTTCAAAATTATTGATCCAGGAAAGGATCTTGCAAGTGCAGGATTTGGACTTGGAAGGCGAAGTGTGGGTCGAGTAAGCTGTTTTCTGGCTGGGACGGCGGGTGAAAGTTCGAGTGACGACGATTCGGCATAGTTAACTGTAAAACTCCTGCTGAATAATGGAAAGAGTTCGAATGCAGCTGCTTAGTAGCGCAGCGTAGACTTGTATAAGTAATTCCCTGCACAATATCACGAAGATAGAGAAGCTGGTAATGATGACGCTGATCAGGTCACAGACCAATCGTAGAAGAGAACTAGTAACTTGACAAATCACGTTCCAGATGTACTGGATTAATGTTTGGTGCATTGTGCCAAAGACAAGTTGTTTCCTTACAAATATATATTTTTTGACTTCTGTAAAAATGATTAAAGGGAAAACAAAGAAAGATAAATTATTCCGCGATGCGATTTTTATGATGAAATAAAGCAATGTTATAGGTAAAGTTAGCGTTGCTACCGAACTTATCTCAGTTTCTGTACAAATGAATAAAGGTTGATAATTTCTAAAGAAACTGTTTGAGGCTGCGTCGGTGGGTGAACGAAATAATTTGAATATATCAACAAAGTTGAAATGGTAAATTGACCACCGTTACGATTATAAAAGCTGATGTTTCGAGCGTTAGCCCTTCGTCAGTTTCTGTACCATGAGGCCATAAGGTTCATCAACTCGTACCCAGATCCTATCGTGTAATTGTAACTAGAAAGTAGGCTTGGCCGTGGGAGGTCTGGGAACGAGACTAAGCTTTCCCCTTCCCCCCACCCCCCTTCTTCTCCAAAAGCAATTTATCGGGGTTTTCTGACGCAACCATCTATACTACCAAATGCTTTCTTTGTAATCGGTGCTTGGGGATGGGGGGAGCTGGAAATTGTCTGATCTTAAACTTAATAGCGATATGCATATATAGGTAAAACATTGTCAAAAAACAAGCTAGGGGTGTCTCGAAACTTCAGACCTCAGTGCAATACAGCAGGAAGCGTAAGCAATATGAGACATAGACGATATCTTAGCTCAAATTTAACTTTTCATCAGCCATTTCTTCGGGGCAGGCTCAGTGCTGAGTCATGATTTTGCCTTATGAAAAGAATAACTAAAATCTCTATTGTCACGAGAGAACGGTTTATATTGTGTTGGTCGAGATGAAAAATAATTACAACATGAAGTATTTAATGGCACAATTATTTTCGGACTTTTCGTCTTTTAGGAGGAAATTATAACGATCTAAAGAAATTTTTAAAAAGCTGAGAAAAACTTCGAAGCAACCGGAATGTACAGACAAGGAGAATGGGAATGTACATTGTGGCATACATCAAGTTGTTTTCATTTTTCTTTAGCGCCGGAAGACTGAACAAGCAGTTGTCTAAAAACAGGCTGATTTAGCTGAGCGGTGTTTAGAAGCAACTGCAGGGTCTTGCAAACTTATTCGGTGGTGCAAATTTGAACCATGTTTTAAAATGGAGACGAAAATTCAAACCCCGGCGGAGACTACCAAGCCTTTCTTTAGAAATATGCAGAAGCCCGCTCAGAGGATAGAACGAGAAAAGCGGGGGAGGGTTGGGACTGAGGGTGGTCATGTTCACTAACGCGCCTGTCCCTCCCATTGTCAGGATCAGTCTGACTCAAATCATGTCTCTAATGAGGGTTTCATTGTGGGGGGAGGAGGTCACGTTGACAGTTGACGATTAAAAATGAGCCCTTTTATCGGTGGAAGTAAGTTCTGATGCTAACCAGTTTTACTCGCGACCAGAAGTTAAAGGACTTACATAAATGTATTTTTGTGATATATCAAAACTTTTAGTTATAAACAACAGAACTTTACCCCAATTAAAGCAATCGCTTAGTTCTTAATTAAGGATATCTGAGACATTTGAAGGCTAACATTGGCTTGCTTATTTGACGGTTGACGGTAAATATATTGCGTTTTTAAGGGTTGACTGTTAATATTTTAGCCATTTGACGGTTGACGGTTAACCCGCCATTGAGACCCTCATAATTGGGCAAAGAGCCAAGCCAATAGTACTAGCAGTGACATTCAAATTAGGTCCAATTATGAGTCAGCTTAAAAACGATGCTTACTTCATCATCATATTTTAACAAATATGGCATCGATCCCCATCACCGCGTCAACATCTGACAAAGTTAACCCTTTGAATACGAAATAGCCCATATTTATTCAGTTGTAATTTGGCGATACAAACTTAACCTCACTTCGTTGGTCCTCATATGGAGCATCCGTTACAATGGGCTCAGACCTTGGGGTCACATGACCTAGATCAACAGTTCGTGTTTGGATGCGTTCAAATCGATTCGGTTTCTCGCTTTTCTGGCCGTTTATAAGTGTTTTTCAAGCCATTTTCCCTCTACAGAAGCCCTCACGACGGCATCATTAAGCTGGATTGTGGTTAGAGGCAGGCCTCTGAAGGAAAACAGAGGTGAGAGATGGCTTCATGTAGAGTGGACCGCCAACGATAATTTACTGCCAGCTTGGCGTGTTCACAAGTGAAGTTGTCTCTCGGGCCCATCTGTGGATGGCTTCCAGGACCTAGCAAGGCTATGTGGCCAAGTTTTGAGCGGTAAAAATTTCAATCGATGCGATATTTTGCTGGTAGGACTGGATGGCCCGACACGATTCTAATAATTCTTTGAAATGGAAATGATAGCAGTTGCCTTTTCAAGTTGTGGCGGAATTACCCAGAACTCTTTTCGGGCATCAAGAAGGCAACGGTTGTGTTCGCGACACTGGCTTTCATCAAATGGAGAAACAAGGGCTGGCAAATAAAGTGAGAAGGAATTTTCTTGCCAAACTCCAAGATCTGGCCCTGAGGTGTGATTTGAACGCAAACTTTTGATTTTTTTAGCAATTTTTTTATCTTAAAAGATCGACATGTTTTTGGTGTTGCTCTTGGAGCAAACTGCTGGACTTGGGGATTTGTTGCCATACGAACGGTTCACTGCCATGAAAATCAGGAATCATTGTGGGCGTTTTAGGTTGCAATAGGTGTCACATCAACGAGCCGGTACAATTTACACACTTACATAATGTTGTGTCTTAAGTTCGACAAGAAACAAGTATCAAAAGTAGTAACGGTATTATCTGGACATATGCGTTCACTTAGTATGCAAAGGGTTAACCTAGCACAAGAAATCTCGGGTAAAGTGTTTTTCTCAAAAGATGGACTCGATCAGCCGTGAAATGTTACTTTGGTGGTCAAAGATGGCGAGTTCAAGACGCACAAAACCGTTCTTTGAGAAGCAAGTCCATTCTTTGAAAAGCTGTTGAACAGCGACCGACATCAGTGAAGGAGTCCAGAGAAGGAGTAGTTCGCTTGGAGATGTCTACCGAGTCTGTCATGAGAAACACACTGGAGTTTATCTACACCAGTGTCCTAGCGGATTTGGACCCCCCCTAGATTTGGACCCCCGTCTAGATCCGCTAGCGGATATGGAACCCCCCGGTCCAAATTTGCTTGCGGATATGGACCCCCCTCCGCGGATTTGGACCCCCCAAGAAAACTGAGCTCAGCTGTGTGGGAACTTGGAATCGAGCGCTTTTCGCCAAAAGTATTTACCGCAAGTCAATTGCTATGCGAAAAATTTGTGTGAAACTTTTGTTGTGGGGGTTTTACCACTCGCTTGGCGAATTAACAACAGGTAACAAGACTCTATACTTTTCTTCG